ATGTAACTGTATTTTATACCTAAAATGTACCAATAAACTTAATGGGAAAAAAAAAGAATCAAGATATGTTCAGTACATGTACTTATTCTCTATGATGAATGGAAACATCATGTACTGCAAACATGTACTAATAAAAACATTTAAAAGTAAATAAATAAATTACTGTTTTTGCCAATTTTACCCTCCCTAATTTTAATTTACAGCCTTGCAAAAATGCCTGAATATTTAAAAATTGGCTCTCCTGAGACAGTACTAGCTGGTTCTGGCACACCACTCTGCGTGTGTGTGTGTGTGTGTGTGTGTGTATAAGAAGCTCCAGGTCTTGCCTCTCCCTTTGACTATAGCATCTCGGCCACAGATCTCTGTCTTAGCTGTCAGACCTCTCTTCCTCACCTCACCTCTCCACATCAGCTCAGGCACAGGATCCAACCTCCCTGGCACCCTCCCTGTTTCTGGCTTCTCACCTCACACTCTGCCCACTGCTTCCTCTGTCACAGTCACTTCTCCCTCATCCAAGAAGGCATCAGCAGGCCAAGCTGAGGAAAAGGGGCCACAATACCAGCCTCTCTCACAGGCCAACTTGGAGTGTGAGAGGAGGACAGCAGAGCCCTTTCTCTTTTCTGCATTTCCCACGACTACATGTGAAATCACAGATGTCCTTTCTCCCACCAACCTCTCTGGCCACCTAAACCATCACCAGGCCCAACAGGGTAAACCCTACCTGGCCACATCTGCCCTGGGAATAACCTTTGAAAGAAACAAGACTCACACACTGGTCCTTTTATTCAGGCTGTCCTGGGGGCTCCCGAAGTATTCAAACTTGAGGGTGAAAGGGGTCTTTATGGGTGAGTGATTAGTCATGATGAGCTGGCGATTCACACGGGTCCTCAGTGGCACCATCGAGCCAAAGTCCAGGTGGAGCTCCTCTGGATGGCCTGGCCACTGCTTTGTGCTGCAAACACTGCCCCATGCCCATGGGCACTGAATAACTCACCATCCTGGGACTTGTTCAGAGAGCCACCCTGGGCAGGGTTTCCCAGAAACCCGGCCACATCCTCAATTTCCCCTCCATAGGGCTGCCACCCCACAGGCCTACTCTTCCTGTCGCCCACTGTGCCCTGAGAGGCCTCAAACTCTACATGAACTGTCCTGCTGGAAGACTGGCATGTCTCCCAGTTGGAGACTTCATTCAGAGCCCTGTCAGCTGCCTTCTCCTACCTGCCTGGACACCATGCCTCCTAGGGTGTGTGGAAAGGACAAACACAGGGCAGGGGAGAGGTGAAGAGATCTGCTCCTACAGAAATGCTGAGGGCCTGGGACAACTCTGTGGCCTTCCCCCAGCTGCAAGAATTGGCTGGGACCAAACAGGTAACACAGGACAACACTGGTCCTTTGTGTGGCTGCCCCTGCCCTGGGCTCACCTGCTATCAGAACCTGGTGCAGAGATGGCAATGGTCACTTGAAGTCCCTGAGGCTTTCCAGAGATGCCCAGGGCCAGTGGCTTCTTCATGCCTGACACATGACAAGGGAGGACCAGATCGGCCAGCTCGTCCTACAAGAAAGCCCATCCAAGGATGAGACACAGGCTTGAGCCTCAGAAGATGGCCCAGATGGTCTTCCACAGCCGAGTGGCTGGTGTGGGCAGCTCAACATGAAGGCCTTGACTTCTCTCCGGGATGGTCTCTGAGGAAGGGCCCTCCAGTGCCTCCAGGGAGCCGGCCTGTCGACTGACACCCTGTTCCCAGAGGCCTGGTTCCTTCCCCAGCCTCCATGGCTGTCCGAGTCTGCCCCAAACATGCCTGCATGAAAGCAGACCCACAAAGCAACCCTGGAGAGGTGCATCTTCTCTCTGACAAAGCTTCTACCATAGACACCAAACCCTTCCTGAGTGGGGTTTGTACAACATCAGGCCTGGGCCCATCTGCCTGTCATCCAAGAGCTCAGGCTCAGCTGTGTAAGAAAACTCACCAGCTCCATGTTTGCAAGTGAGGAACTGGGACCTGAGTCTGTAAGAATCTACAAGAACTTTCTCCTCCCAGAAGAACCACCCAGTACTGAGCATGTTCTGCCCTGATGGCTTCCCTCCAGGCCAGGCCAGGGCACAGCTCTGACTCTCTTGGGAGGACACTGGCCACCAGTTAGCCTCTCTCAGTCGCACCCAGCACAGTGCCTGCCTCAAGCAGCAGCTCTGCCCTGGATCTCTAGGTAAATTGGAAATCTGGACCCCCGGTGGCCACTGAGAGTGTCCTGGAGAAGGCTAAACCATCTCAAGGCATATCCAGGCTTGCTCTAGTCTCTCTTAACTTTTATCCTTAGAGAGTAAGGGATCCTACACCCATATGCAAGATGTCCCTTTCCCACCCACAAGGACCAGGAGTGGAGTCCAATGTAGGATCTCCCTGGAGACACAGGTGCAACCCGTTGGCAGGATGCCTTCCCAGTCCCTGGGGCTCCACATTGCCTAACTCACCTGGGTATGAGCAGTGAACTCCAAGATGAGCTGGCGCTCTTCACTAGGACCCAGCAGGCCACGACTAGGGGAGATTGTCACTGTGCAGAAGGTTGCTTGGTTCCCCAGGAGCTGGTAGACACAGGGGTGGAGCTATTGTCTCCTGCAGGGCTCCCAGAATGGACCAAGACCCAGACAGAGTGCTCATTGGAGGCTGGCAGACTCAGAGCCACAGTAGGACACACAGGGCTGGGAGATCACTTCTAGCATAAACCCCAGGCCCCTTCTCTCCTCCCCATCCCTGGATGGACTTTTGCCACCTGTCAGGGGGTTGGCTGGACTCAATAAGCTGCCCTGAGAGGTCCAGAGTGATGGGAGCAGTGGGCAGCTGCTGTTGACACACATAGATGTGGCCCTGTCTCCCACAACACCCAGATTAAGTTCCACAGGGGCAGTGCCGCAACTGGCAGGGGGCTGCGGACTATGCTGGTGTGGAGGCTCTCGCTGTGTTCATCGGAAACTCCTTCATGGGCAGGGAACTGGGATTCCCTAAACACAGGACCACAAAAACCCAGGCCAGTTTTGCTGCTCCTTTGTGGAGCCAAGCTTTTCTGGACACTGTGGAGGTAGGGACTGGCTGGGGGACAGAGGCTGAACATCTCTCCTTCGCACCCTGAAGGGGCCACGTGGGCCTGTGTTGCTGAGGGCTGCAGTCCACTACCCAACAGCGGAGGCTCCTCACCTTTCCCCAGTGGAACCTGGTGGGGAGGAGTGTGCTATTGATGAGTGTGACGGTGGACTTTGTGGGCACATCCAGGTAGAGGCTGCTGAGCTCCACCTGGCTGCTGTGCAGGTACACACGGGGCTCCTGTATCTCAGCATACACAGCCAGGTAGCTAGAACACAAGGAAATAAAAGGCATACTGATCAGAAAAGATGAAATAAAACTGTTGCTGATGTGATGTCTATGAAATCCTGAGGAATCTATATTTTTTTAAAAACTCCTAGAACTAAACCAGGGTACAAAGTCAACACATCAAAATCAACCACATTTTTATACACTAACAGTAAACATATGAAAATAAATTTAAAACACAATCCCATTTATAATTGCTAAAAATTGAAAAAGGTACAAGGGAGAAATTGTACGGAGAACACTCTGAACTTATTTCAGAATGGTGACTACCCCTCTTGTACCAGTTAAGCTTGATTGTCACCTTGATTGCCTTGAGAGCTGATTGTGGGTGTGTGTGGTAGGATCTGGGGACTCTGTCTGGTCTCTGGCCTCTTCCTTTCTGACACTGTTCCCCTGCTCTGCTTCTCAGCTGCTATGATATGAGCAGCTTTCCTCTGCCTTGACCTTCCACCATGATTTTCCTGCTTGGAGCCAGCCTATCACGGATGGAAATCTCTGAAACTGTGAGCCTGTTCAACATAGTCCTCAAAACATTAGCCAAACCAATCAGGTGAGAGAAAGAAGTAAAAGGGATATGTATAGAAAAGGGAGAAGTCAAATTATCGTTATTGCAGACAACATGATCCTCTACATGGAAGGCCCAAAGAATTCTATCAAAAGACTCCCAGAATAGCTAAATTCCACAATGTCACAAGATATAAAATCAACATACAAAAAATCAATAGAGCATTCCTGTACATCAATAATGTAGTCACTGAGAAAGAAATTAGGAAAACAGTACCATTCACACTAGCATTAAGAAAAATTAAACACTTCGGAATTAACCTGAGGAAGTGAAAGACCTCTCAAATAAAAACTACAGTACTCTGAAAAAGGAGATGGATGAGGACATCAGAAAATATGTATCTCCTGCTCCTGAATAGGCAGATCCAATATGGTCAAAAAAGCCATACTTACAAAACTGATATATAGATCTAACTCAATTCCAATCAAAATACCAACAGCATTCCTCACAGTATTAGCAAAAACAATCCTAAAATTCAAATAGAACCAGAAGAGACCCCCAATTAGCAGTAACAAAACCAATCCTGGGTAACAAGATCAAAACAGGAAGTATCACAATCCCAGGTCTGAAGTTTATATTACAAAGCTACAGTAATAAAAACAGCATGGTACTGATATAAAAATAGACATGTAGATGAATGGAACAGACTAGAGGAAGCAGAAACAAACCTAGGCACATTCAGCTATTTGATCTTGACAAAGGGTCCAAAAACATACACTAGAGGCAAGATAACCTCTTTAATAAATAGTGCTGGGAAAACTGGCTGTCCACATACAGAAGATTGAATCTAGGCTCATGTGTCTCACCATGCACTAAACTAAAATCAAAATGGATCAAGTGGATCTAAATGTTCAAACAGAAATACTTAATCTGCTAGAAGATAAAATAGACATAGGCATATGCCTTTGAAAACAAAGGCATAGGCAAGGGCTCTCTGAACAGAACCACAATAGCATGACAAATAGTACCAAGAATCAACAAATGGGATCCTATCAAATTAAAAGGCTTCTGCACAGCAAAGGAAACCACCAGCAGAGTGAAGACATCCTGCAGGATGGGGAAATTTTTTTTCCAGCAATTCCTCAGACAGAGAACTAACATCTAGAATATATAAAGAATTGCTAAAAGTTAGTGTTATGGCTGTGTATAGATGGACGGCCCCCCAAAAAAAGTCTTATGCAGTCATAGGTGGGCCTTTTTCAGAGGTGACTGGATCTACAGTGTGTTATGGTGGGATTGATTCCTGGTGCAATGCTAAATTCAAGGGCACTAGGATTAAGGGTGTGAATGCTACCCACCCTAAGTAGGCTGGGTAAGATATAAGGGACAGAAAGAGGCTGTAGTCCTCCCTTGCTTGTTTTGCTACCATCTGCCCCCATGAACTGTTTCTCCTCTGTGATGATTGATCAAAAAGTGGGCAAGTAAAATGAGTAGACACTTCCCAGAAGAACAACATGATTACACATGACATAAATATACTACATGTATGCATAGTCTGTTGTAATCTTCCCATCCTCCCATCCCAACCTCCATACCTCCAATCCCCATTTTCCACCTCCAGCTCCAGGACAGTCTGCAGAGTCTGGCAGTGCAAGGCCTCCAAGGTGACAGTCACACTGCACTCCCCTAGAGGGTGAAGTTGGCCACTCGAAGGCTCAATGTTGAAGGATGATACCTAATGCCAATTCAGAAGGATGAGGAGTAACGACACGTGGGACTGCAGCACTGGGGCGGGCCATGCCCACCAAGGCTCTCACCAAGCTGCTCCAGGCTCTCACAGAGCCACCTAGGGTCCACAAGGAGGCAAGCAGATGGGGGACCACAGCTGGGCCAGGGTCTCAGGACTAAGAGGACAAACACTGAGCCTCCAAGTAAAGGAATACATAAGAGAGAGGTCCCCATGCCTTGGCCCACACCTGTGAGGCAGAAAGCAGAGGAAGGTGCCCCAGGGGAGCAGGGAGAGCTGGGCAGGCAGGTGGAGGTTCCAGCTCCAGGAGAAGAGCCATGGCAGGAGGTGCAGAGCCCCCTGGGCAGGCCTGGGTCAGGACCCTGACAGCTTCAACTGAGGAGAGCCATCAGGTCACCAGCCAGGGGCGTGGGGGGGTGCTATGTAGCCACAGATTCTCCTTTGCTCCTCCATGGTCCCTTCCCCACCCCCTCATTCCTGCAGAATAGACTCCTTCAGGCGATAAGTCTGTCCCTGCTCCCACCAGACACCTAGACAAAGAGGGACAGGAAAAGAAAAAAACCTTCAGTAGAAAAGTGTCTACATCTGGGGAGGGCTCTCAACACTCCATCCTTCCTGTCCCTGATGACAGAAGGGGCACTCTTCCAAGTGAGTAAGGCTCCGAGAGGCCACACTGGCTAGTGAGGGTGCTGCTCGCTGGACATCATAAGTTCACACCAGACAGGATGTGGGGATCTCACTCTTATCCCTCCCTTCCATGAGAGCAGGCACCTGGAGATGCCACGTGGCAGGGCTTGCCCTCTCTCTCCCTCACTCCCACCCAGGCAGGCCCCATGCTTCAGAGGTAGGAGGCTGGGCTTCTTGGCTTCAGAGCTTCAGCCTCCCTGGCACTGCCAAGTACTGCCATAGAAAAATAAGGCTCTGTGTGCTTGCCAGAGCTAAAGCATTGGAATTTGGGGCAAAGCTCAGCTGGGAAGAAAACAGCTAAGGAATGCAAACAAATCTTGAATTACCTTTTCAGAGCTTTCAGGGTTTGAGCCACACACCTGTGCCCCGACGCCACCTGCTGGCAGGTACTCAAATGGCAGGTACCATCCCAGAGAGAATCAGAACCCGGGGTGAACCCTCAGGGGCAGCGACGTGGCCCTAGCAATAGCAACCCTGGAGGCTTCCCGACCAACACAGTAGCCCATTTTCCCCTAGACTAAGGCTATTCTGATGAGAGAGAATCCCAGTCCTGCTTCTGCATCTAACAGCAGAAAAGAGAATAGAAAGTGCCTGCTAATTTGGGGTTGGGGTATGAACTCAGCTGTGCAGGGTGCTGTCTCAGTGGTGGGGAGTGGTGGGCAATGAGGGGCAACAGGATTTTCACCTGCAGCCTCAGAGCTCTGATCTACATGCACAGCACAATGGTTGCAGTTCAGACGAGATCCAAGGAGAAGTGCTTACGGGTGAGGTGGCACAGTGGGAGCCACCAGTGCCCAACTTACACTCTCGTGTCTTTCTTCCAGACAGGCTGGGCTCTCCCTCAGATGCCACGTGGCCAGAAGCTGGCTGATGTTTTGGATCTGGATGGTGTTCCTGCCTTTCTGCCCCAGGCAGAGCAGACCAAACTGAAGGGCTGAGACATTGATGACAAGGGCAGGCCCCTGAGATACCCAGAGGAGCCTATCACTAGGCTGTCTGGGAATGGGCTCTGAGTCCCACCCTGCCACCTCCCTGGGCCCTGTGGCTGCCCAGCCCCCCACGAGCATACCTTAAAGGCCGCCTCGATGTGTAACACCACTGGCGAGGGCGAGTCTCTGATTTCACACACCAGGTCCTGACTTGCTGGGCCAGGGACACCCCCCGTAAAGTTCAGCTCAAAGTTCCCAACCTCACTGGGCTCTGAGAGAGGAAAACAGAGAAAGAACAGAAGCAGAGGTGGTTTCCTTCTGTGGTCAGGACCAGATGTCCAACCTTTGCTCACTTCATCTGCCATATGCGGAAGACCTTGGCTGGAGCTGATGGGAAGACACCCAAGGCCTTCCACAGGTCCCTTTAAACTCTAATCACTCCTCCTGGGCAGGTCAAACCCTTCTGCAGCTCCCAGGTACCTATGACCCCTGTGCAGGGCTCCACTTCAATGATATGACAGTCGCTGATCTTCCCCCACTTGTATCTGATGGGTGACTTGCTGTTATTCCACATCTGAAAGACACACCCCAATCCGCGCTGCCCCAGTGCTGCCTTTTCATGTCAAATCTGTACCTGCTGAAGGGAGTGGGATCATGAGCTCACCAGAAGTCTAATGGATACCCTCCCAGCTAACTCCCAGCCACATAAAGCCACAGCCTTCCCAACGTAACAGTGTCCTTGCTGCACCCTGCAGGGATGTGGGTGCCATATCCTGCCAAGGACCTGTGAACAGGGGAAGGGTTCCACAGCCCTATTTCAGAAGATTCTGGAACACTGGTAAAATAAGACAGTTATGCCTGGCCCAGGCATCTCTGCAAGCAAGATTAGGTTCGGGGCCCTGGGAATAGCCTCAGGCTCCATGCAGTGACCCCTCCAGCTCTGTCTTCCCTACTGTTCAGCACCCTCAGCCCGGATGAGCAAGGAAGAGGCTATGCCCTACCTTAAAATCTTTCTTCACATTGACACCAATGTAATTCTCTCCTGGGATGATGAGGGCATATGGTTCTAAGAGAACCTGGAAGGGCTCTGCTGGGCCTTTCACCTCGATTTCCAAGACAATCACGTCATCCACAGAGTGTGAATACTCCCCCAGGTTCTTTACCTCTGCACTGAAGACAAACCCACCATGAGCCAGAAAACAACACAGCCTGGGAGCACATCCCTGCATGTCCCTGCCTCTGTCTCACATCTTTGATCTTGTAAAGAAAGATCTATAGTCTTTGGTTCCCACACCCTCTACAATCAGAGCCATCAACAAAGCCACACCACAGCCCCCAGCCTGGCATTTGTGCACCAGGCTGACAGGAGACCCACCCTGACCATGGAGCAAAATTCTCTTCATTCTCAACACCACCCAGGCAGGATGAGCTCAGTTGTCCAAGGGAAGCAATGAGCCCAGGTGGCCTACAGCTCTCCTAGCAAGTCCAGCCAACTCTGTTTCCTGTATGCTGAGCCCAATCTGGAATAGGTTTCCAGGGCAAGACAAAAGTGCTCCCAGCCCACAAAAACTGCTAGGGCCAAGGTGACCATCCACCCCTGGCCCAGCACCTGCCACAGAAGCATCCTCAGCTGTCCACACTTAGCCAGGTCCAGGCCCTACTCACCTCAGGGGCTCGGGGACCTCTTCCAGCACCATCTGCAGCACACTGTGGAAACTCCTCAGCTGCAAGGCAAATACTGCACACTGAAAACATCTATGCACTCCAGCCAGGCTGCCTAGAGAAAACTGGTGCTATGGCAGGAATTCCCCCTCCCCTTGGCCCTCAAAACAACCCTGGGCCACTTCCCTCCTACCTCTTTCACACCCTAAGAAAGTGAAGCCACTGCCAGGATAGGAGCCGTGACTCAGGGGCCTACCTCAGCCCTGCCTTCTGGCAGGAAGGGAGATCCCTGAGGCTCACACTGGCCATGGGTGAGGCCTGAAAGGCACCTGTGTTCATCTGGGTCCCAGTCCCGCTAACAGAGACCCCAGACCTGGTCCTGTGCTAACCTGGCCCTTGGCAGCCTGAGCCTCATTCTGTCTAAAGGCTGCTGTGAGGTGGGGGAGGTGGTAATGTTCTCTGACATAACATGACAGATGCCAAGGCTGAGGAGACAAGCCTGGGGTTCTTTTGCTGATGGATGCACGTGGGGTCAGGACCAGAAAAACGAGTTGCATCATCCTGCACACCAGGCACAAGCTCTGGGGACACTCTTAGCTAAAAGTTGGACTTAAGATGCCCAGGTACCTTGTCAGGCCCACATGTGGCTTCAATGTCATTTAAAAACATGGACAGAGGGGTAAGATACCCAGTCAGTCATGTGTAGCTAATGACATGACACCCTTTTAACCTCATAAGGAGAAAAGCTCAGGATGAACTCGTGGTCTGTGTGGGGGCTGAGAACCCCCTTTGCAGGCCTGATGGAGAAGGCTGTCTCCCTGTCGGGGTGGTGCTTGATGCTGTCCACACTGTAGGTCTCTCCAGGCATTAGAGGCTGCAGGTTGGGCCTCATGATCTGCCAATGGAAGGCCAGCTCCACGTGCCTGTGGGGGCAACCATGACAGTGGACAGCAGATCTTAAGCCATGCCCCAATTGTATCAGGTTCTACCCCATGCCTGGCCTGCCCTGCTTCAGGAGTAAGCAGAAAAAAGGACAAAGGAATAGGAACTCTATGAGGCTTTCCCTCGGAGGAGCATAGAGGGACTTGGACAGGGGATGGCAGGTGGGTCAGGGAGTCCAAACTGGAAACCATGTAAAAGAGCCCCCTCTTTTCCATCCACCAGAGCTGGAGGGTGGAGTTCTAGTAAATCAAGAGAAATGGTTCGCACCAAAAATCATGCTCCAGACAAAAACTGGAGGGATCTAAGCATCTCCGGATATCAGAAAAACTTTCTACAGTATCTCCTCTAAATGAGTGTTCAGGGTTTGCCATGACCACCCTCCCTAGAACTTGCTTCTAGCTATGGTCTCCCAGGACAGTTGTATCCTGAAAGATAAGTGCCCTTGGCTCCCAATAGGAACTATGACAATTCCATGGCAGAAGGAAGCGCAGGACTTCACACATGTTTCTGACAGGCAGCTGTCAACAGGGAAGGGATGACAGGCAAGTACCACTTACCATACTGGGTCACAGAAGCCTGCATAATGTATGAGGATAGGGGGAAGCCTTCACTCAGGGGCTCCCCAAAGTCAGTCCTGGTGGAATGGTGGTGCTTAGAGGCTGCTCAGGGAGCAAATGACAGTGAGGGCTGAACCCATAGACCTAATCTCTGCCCCAGGACTTGGATGGCCTCCTCAGCACCAGGACACTGGTCCAACATGACCTCTCTGGAAAACTGCTCCTGGTTCAGAATGGGTCAAAGTGATTTAGAGCAGCATTATGCAATCAAGCACTGTCCAATAGGGCGGGCACTGACTACATGTGGTAACTGAGCTCTTAAACTGTACTTAGGGCCACTGAGGAAGTTTGTAAATTTATTTAATTTTAATTGATTCAAGTTTCAATAGCCGCATGTAGCTAGTGGCCATCAAGATGGGGAGTGTGAATCTAGATCCTTCCATCCAATCTGGACCTATCATAGGCCTAGAATCCCTCTTGGCCCTTGGGAGGATGCTCTTGCCTCACTGAGGGGTGTACATAGGGTCCACTCACGTAGCGTTTCTTATAATCAGCTGTTTCCTTGATGTGGACTGAAGGTTTTCAGGCTCAAATCGAATGAAGTACTGAGCTGTTAAGTCTGTGAGCTCTCCAGGATCTGGTTGACTTTTTTCACCAGAAATATAGATCAGATCCAAAGCAATGAGCTGCCCGGTTCCTGATAAAGTAGAGTAGTGAGGTTAGTGAAGTTTCACTAAGCTGAAATCAGTGCTCATGCCATCGTCCACATGGATCCAGCTTTGAACATAGTCCCCAGACATGTACACAAGAGAGCAGAGAGGGCCATTAGCACAACATTCATGCCCTCACTTCCTCACTGCCTAAAAGGAAGTGATTTGGGGAACTTCACACATAGCAGACATTCAGTGTAATGCCTTCCAAGTGAAACTGGTAAGGCAAATGGAAGAAAAGGATAGAAAGAAGAGCAGGAAGGAGAATAAGTGAAAGGGAAGGCAGATGAGTGGGCTTTTGGGGCAACTGAGCAAGATGGCCCTTCCAACCTTACAGAAACCTAAAAGTGCCTCTGGTGATTTATGTGAGTCACTGGAAATTCCTCAAAGGGGAGTAAAGTGACTTTCAAAATAAAACAATGAAAGATTTTGCCCCAGGTTTCTATCTGCCATCATTGCCAGGACTCCTTGGTCTATCTGGGAGGCCATACTGTCTTGGATCTGACCAAAGCAAGAGACTGAAAACTACAGCCTAGTGCCTGGAGGCTGCCACATCCCTAATGTGCACCCTGACACAGGGTGAGCATAGCCACCCTGCTGACAGACACACGAACCCCAGGAGCACATGCAAGCCCACCTACAATCACCAGCTCCTTTATCTGGCAGTTGTCACACACGATGATGAAGGTCTGCTCTGCCTTTCCCAGGCTCATTGGTAAGAACAAAACCTAAAGGAGAGAAAGTGAGTCCTGTCACCCCCATTTAGGGGCTCTACTCCCACCTCCCCTTCTCCTCTTGTCAGACATGCATCCCTCTTTGCTCACTACTTTTCCCTCCCCTCCTCTCCCTCCCTGCCAGCTTGCTCCTAAGACCACAAGTTTCAACCTAGGCTCCTTTTACTTCGTAGAGTAAGGCAAGGAGTATGTTGAAAGGATATGGAAAGTTCAAGAAACAAATGAGATCTAAAATCCTTCCTGCGAAAAGAAATGTAAATGAAGATCACCCAGAAGAACAATTTTCATTCATCATACTGGCAAAGAGCACAGAGTTAGCTGTCGTAAATGCAGTGGTTGTATTTTCCCTAGGTTTTTTTCCCAAAAAGCTCTCCCCTACCTCCAGTCCTTGCTAACCACTGTTCTACTCTCTGCTTCTATGAGTTCTATCTTTTAAAATTGAACAGGTAAGTGAGATAAAACAGTATTTGTCTTTCTATGCCTGGCTTATTTCACTTAACATAACATCCTCCAGGTTCATCCATGTTGTTGCAAATGACACAATTTTCTTCTTTTGAAAGGCTGAAAAGTACTCTATTGCATATCAAAATCACACCTTATCCATTCATCCATTGATGGACACTTAGGTTGATTCAGTATCTTGGCTATTGTGAATAATGCTACAATGAACATGAGAGTAAAAATGTCTTTTCAACATTCTGACTTAATTTCCTTTATGTGTATCACCAGTGGTGGGGTTGCTAGAACATATGGTAGCTCTGGTTTTAATTTTTTTGAGAAATCTCCACGCTATTTTCTGTAATGACTGTGCTAATTTACATTCCAACCAACAATGTGCAAGTGTTCCATTTTCTCCACCTTGGTCAATATTTGTTATCTTTCATCTTTTTGATAACAGCTATCCTAACAGATATATGATATCTCATTGTGGTTTTAATTTGCATTCCCCTGATGAGCAACACTGAATATTTTTTCATATACTTGTTGGCCATTTGTATGTCTTCTTTTGAGAAATGTCTACACAGATCCTTTGCCCATTTTCAAACCAGATTGTTTTCTTGCAATTGAGCTGTCTGAATTTCTTAACATACTTTTGATATTAACCGCTTATCAGCTGTAGGGTTTACAAATATTTTCTCCATCCACAAGTCATCTCTTTACTCTGTTTATTGTTGCCATTGCTGTGTGGAAGCATTTTAGTAATTCCATTTTACTTGCTACCAATGTTTTGGAAGTACTGGAGTTTTTCCCCTATGTTTCCTTCTAGCAGCTTTACAGTTTCAAGTCTTACATATAACCTTTTAATTCATTTTGAATTGAATTTTGAATATGGTATGAAACAACAGTCTAATTTCATTCTAATAAATACATTAATGTTACATCTTAATTTTCTTCAAAATAATCTAGAGGGGCTGGATGGAATTTGGTTGAAGGAGTGTTGATGTAAGACAACTGGCCAAAAGCTGCTCATTGACAGAGCTGAGAAATAAGTAAAAGAGTGATTTTAAACTATTCTCTTTACTTTTGCGTATGCTCAGAAACATGTATGGTAATCATTATTTTAGTTTTGATAACACATTGTATGGCAAGGATGTAAGAAAACAGGCATCATGACATACTGTTAGAGGTATGAGTTGGTATAATGTATATATATGGTAAGGATTTTAGCAACATGTTTCACCATTATGAAAGCATGGACATCTGAATCCACAAACCCACTTCAGAAACTAATTCATACTTGGATAGAGTGATGTACATATAAGTTATTTGCTGAAATAGGTGAAGATTAGAAGAAAAAATGTCTCTGTCTTAATTACGTTCTCATTGCTGGGTCAAAATACCCAACACCCACAAGTTAAAGGAGGAAAGGTTTATTTTAGCTCACAGTTTGTAGAGATATCAGTCCATAGTCAGCTGGCCCCAAGATAGGGCAGAGGAGAAACAGTTCATGGCATGGCAGGCAGGAAGCCAGCAAGCAAGAAACCTGCCTCCTTTCTGTCCCTTTATATTCCATCCAGCCTATAAACCTACTGCTACCACCCACATCCAGGTTGAACCTTCCATTCCCATACCCAGAACTATGCTAAACCAGTTTAGTTATCACACACCTTTAAGCCAGGGATTTAGCTCAGTGGCACTGTGCCTGCCTTGCAAGCACAAGGTCCTGAGTTCAATCCCTGGTACCAAAAAAAAAAAATTGAGATTATCACACACCCTTAATCCCTGTATCACTTACCCTAATCCAGCATCACACATCAATCATCCAGCCACCTCCCAAAAATCCCACCCATGAGTGCATGAGGTTTTGAAGCCCCATCTAGATACAAGCCATAACATCTTCATATCAATCAGTAGGGGACTAATGAGTCAAATTATGGTTCATTCATGGTGGAAGACTATGCAGTTGTTAAAACCATGAGAATGATCTATAAAACATACTGTTAAATGGAAAACACACAGTGCAGAACGGAGTATGGAGCAGGCAACACTATGTGAAAGGAAAATGGAAACGAAGGAAAGAAAAACCCATGTGTCATTTATTTAGCCTACAATATCTCTGGAAGGCCCACTGAAAACAGGTCAGGTGTGGATGGCCCTTGGGGGTTAGGGAGGAAAGGAAGCACTTCTCTGCTACCTAGTTTCATCTGTTAGATTTCTAACCATTTGAATTTATTTATTATTTGGAAATATGAATAAATTTTAAAGCACAACCCCAATAACCAATACACAAAATATATAACAAATGCAAACGGGGAAACCTCCCCAATCCTCTCACTGCTCCCCTAATAGTTTTGTTGCTACCTTCTTTGTTTCCATGGAGATCACAAGAAATCAGGGTGAGAGGACATCAGGGGAGACAAATCCTAATTTTTCAAAGCCACCACAAGGCTCTGTCAAGGCCTGGGTGACACTAGAAGAGAGGAAAGTGAGTCTGGGCTGCAGGTGGGCATTGCAGACTCCACTTCCCTCTCAGCACCAGACAAAGACTAACAAAGCTCTACTGTGACCCTGAGTTGGCTCAGTCCCAACCCTGAGAACTAGGTTCTCACTGAGAATTGGGTCAGCATGAGTATGACCTAGAATCACACCCCAGGACTACAGAACAAGACTATATCAGGCACTTGAAACTGGAAAGCAGTGGATGAAAGGATGCCCTCACTTATACCATGACACTGAAGCTCATATAAGGCAGTGGTCCTTACACAGCATCACCTGAGCAGTTGTAAAGTCCTGCACCCAGGCCACACCCCAGACCAGGGAACTCAGAGCCCAGGGTGGGCACCCAGGCATGAGTGTGTTTCCGTATTTCTCAGGTGATTGGAATGTGCAGCTCAGTTTAAGAGACAGTGGCCTTTGGATCTCATCACTGTCAGAAACCAGACAGTTTTTTACCCCTGAATGCCAGAAGCCTCCTTAGCAGGCTATTGAGGAAGGCTAAGCATGTCTCTACAGCCCCCACATCCAGTGACATGACACCACAGAATCAGACTCCAGGACCAGGGAGACAGGAAAAGTGGCAGTGTGGTCCTCACAGGCACTTCTGGAACCCAGCAAACGTGTGAGCCAAAGCCCAGCTAAAAGGGGCTGGTTAGGAAGGCACAAGTACACAACCATGGGATCAGATCTTGGGGAGCTTCCTTAGAGGTTCAGAATAAGGCTTAAGGAAGGCAGCCTTGTTGACTATATAAACACAACAGTGAGAACAATGCTGCTCTCTTCACCCAGGTACCAGATGGTGCTAGTGGAGTTGAGGAAGGTCCAAGAAATCTGAAAAACTATAGGAAGATCTTAGAGGCAGCTTATGTGTTGGGAAAGCTCACTCCCAAGCTAACAGTATGGACAAGCAACATTCAGCCATCATGATGGAAATGCTAGGTTTGTCTGCATTTGCTTTGTGAGGTCATAAGATAGTCAAATGCGAATGCAAGAATATATCCAGACCCACTGAGGCTGGTATCTGGGATGGGAGTAGGCACTGGGTTATGAAAACACAGAAGCAAATGCTTTCATGTAGCCACTGAGGGCAAAGACATGAGGAATCATAAAAAGGCAAGAATATATGCCAATGTGTAGTCACCTACCTCCAATAATACGGATAACCCAGGAGCCAGCTCAAACACCGAAGGCATGACTGCAAAGGGAGGTTGTCCAATAAAGCCAGTGCTTGCAGCAGCCTTAAAGAAAAGCAGAAAATTACACAATGCTATGCAAGAAGGTATAAGATCCAGGGCTCAAATTTAAAACTTCTCTCCTCCAAATATCTGCTTGGCTATTTGAAGGATCGTAAGGATCATCCAATCCCAGGTCAACAAAGAAACTACAGCTCACTCATCTGGCACACATTTACTTGACCTTTACCAGGCACCAGAAGAGTACTGAAGGTTAAGGACAAGTAAGTGACAGAGAACCTGTAAAGCGCTCACTACCTGCAGGAGGTGCAAAGAATACCATTGCCGAGTGCTTGGGACAAAGGCAGGAAGTGTGAGAAGGATTTCCCAAAGCATAACTTCCTTTTCCTCCTCAGCACCCTTGGTCAGTGGTGCTAGTGTATATGTCTGCCTCTATTACCCCTGCACCCCGGCTATAATAAGCTCCTAAGCTCCTGAGTCATGAGGGCAGCTGTCATCTTGTTAGCAGAGCTGCAGCCCCAGCCCTCATATAGGAAGCCACTGAATATTCCAGGGACACAAACCTAGGCCTACAAGACCCTGGCAAGTAACAGGAATGAGTAAAATGAGTTTCTGAGAACACATGGTCCTCTCGATCTATTACATGTCTTCTGGACAAAAGCATTCAGAGGATTTTCCCTACTATAAGAGAAATAACTATATATGCATAATGATCAATGGTGTTGGGCTGGGGCTGCCTGACAGTGATGAAGCCCAGGCAACAGGATGGAGCACATGGGCCCTACCTCCCTGCCCTAGCTGAAAGGGTCACAGCGAGTCCTGGCCCAGGCCTGCATTGCTTCCAATTTTCCAGAGACTGAAAGTGCAGGTGTATATGTGAAATTTCCCCACTTTTAAAGATTGGTTCAAAAATATTTTTAAGGGGCCAGGGATTTAGCTCAGTGCCTGCCTCACAAGCACAAGGTCCTGAGTTCAATCCCCAGTACAAAAAAATAAATAAATAAATAAATAAATAAATGTTTTTAAGCACTGTGCCAAATAAATACCAACAAAATTCAGCCAAAGACCTGCCAATCTGTGGCCTCTGATATAAGCAGACATTTGTAATGATAGTGATGACTGCCCTGCCGGAGTGAATGTTAACCAGGCCTTCCGGGATAAGAGAGGTGCTAAACCTGCCTAGGGTCGTGCAGGTGTTAGTGGCAATAACCACAGGTTTAGTCCTAAACTCCGTATATATTCAACTGAGGCCCGCCAGTTGGATACAGAGTTAAGAACATTCTGCTTTTCGGTGTTTCCAATCAAGGAACTATCTAACATTTCACTCCAAGGGGTTATTTTCTTTGATGGATTTGCTCTTTTTCCAGGTAGCAATGTATGATCACTCACCCTGAAACTTATTGGCGGCCAGCTCTCTTTGAGCATAATGTGGAATTTGCCAGTGCTGAAGCCCACATTTCTGCAGATGAATTTTGTCATCTTTATTCCTCCTATGAGGCAGTAACCACAGTCCAACACCGGTGACACTGCAGCCACAGAAAAGATGTATAAGAAGACAACATGCACTCAGGTTGGGCCCTGCTGTCACTGTTCCCCTGAAGTCCAGCCAACAGTCAGAGCAGCTGTGGAATGACCTAAGGGCCCCAGCTAAGCATCCAGAGCAGACAGGATGAATGGTAACATGCCCTGACCCCTGTACACTTGGGCTCTGCCCAGGCTGTTCCTGGCCCACATGGCAGCAGTGCCCCGGGACTCCATCCATGCCTGGACAGAGCAATGGGAGTCAGTACCCACTGTGGACTCATGTCTCAGCCAAGACCAGCATGGCCCCAAGGGGTGCGACAGAACTGAGGAGGATCAGAGTCCAAACTTCTGTTGTACCACCTGAAGAGGTTCATAACTGAGGGAGCCTAGGCAAAGCAGATTTTCCAAGGGTGCCATCCCCACAGCCACAGAGGCCACATCTACCATGGGCTACTCAGAGAGCCCAGACACGTCTTCCTTGCCTCCTTGTAGCATATTCCACTTAGAGGTGTTCACAAGCCAGCAATGCTTGTGCTGGGGTTAGCTGGGTGCAGCCTCCTCCCCTGCTGAGTCATCCTCCACTGGGAACACCAAATGCAAATAGGAAAAGTAGGACCTGACACTGGAAGAGGGTACAGAAGCAGATAGAAGTTTCCTCCTTACAAACTCGAAGCCCCTGCCCAAGAGGACCAAGCTCTATGCTGCTACCAAGGACCCCCAAGAGGAAGACAGTCTTTATGGGGACTCTCCAACTCTGGATCCCTGAGTATGGTGTGGCACAAACTCACAGGTCAGCACAGGGGGCGGCCTCCGGGCCTGCAGGGGGATCAGGAGCTTGTGGGCTGACTGGGTCTCGACTAAAATGAAGTCATCAAAATCCCCAAGACAGTCAGGAATAAACTGGACAGTGTATTGGCAGGTCATTCCAGGAGCCACCATGCCACCACGTCCTGGGAACATCCCTGCGCATGACAAAAGCAACCGATGAGGATGGGGACCAGTACTCACCACGTTGGGCTCAGCTGCCTCAGAAGGCAAGCACAGCTGGGGCTGACTGTATGAGTCAACGCCTCTGGGCCAAGGTCAGACAAATGGCAGAACCACCAAGTGTGCTGGGGCAAGCTTATAGGGCAGGGACTCCAGGAAAACCATGAGGGCCCAAAGAGGAGTGAGATGGTCCATCTGGAATGGTTAGGTGGAGCCATGGGTGGTCCTGTGGCTTAGAATTTATCTCACGGGAAGCAGAGTCCTTTGAGATTTCTGGGCAGAGGGACAGGGCCAGAGCTGCTCTTGAGACAAACACTGGCAAGTAAGCTGGAAGGCTGGCTGGAGGCTGCCATGGTGAAATGAGAGCTGAAGGGGGAAATGGCAGAACCAGTGCCTAGAGAGAGAAATCAGGAGAGAGGAGCTGTCCAGATGGTGGGATCTCACCAGCAACTGGTGGGGAGAGGAGGCCTGAGCTCAGGACAGGGGCAGAGTCATCAGGGCTTCGTGGGTCCGTAACTGCAGCTAACCCACAACATAGCTCTGAGGTTGTCTAAAAGCATACCTCACTGAACTCACCTAACCCCAGAGCAAAGTATGGAGTAGAAGGCGGGAGGACTCGCAGGTAGCGGCTAGTTGCAGTGGTATTCTGTAGTGTGATCACCATCTGTCCAGAGGGAAAGGTGATTTCTCTTAGCAACATTTAGGGACACAGTGCTGCTGCATGTGATGGTACATGCCTGTAGTCCCAGGACTCGACAGGCTGAGGTAGGAGGATCACCAAAAGTTCGAGGATTACCTGAGCCACACAGTGAGTCCAAGGCCACCCTGAACTATATAGTAAGACCTTGTCTCAGAAAAACAAAGCAAAAAAAACAAAGAAGGGAAAAGAAAAAATACGAGAAAAGGAAAAAATGGAAACAAAGTCTTTGTATATAGGGAAGGGTGGAAGGGTGAAGGGAGGGCTAGGAATAGGGAAAGAATAAGAACCAGGATATATCATGTACAGGTACAAGATCCCAATGATGAATGTAACTGTAAAGGGTACCTAAATTTACCAATAAACTTAATGAAAAAAAAAAAAAAGCAAGGACACAGTGCTATGCCTGGCATTTACTTTAAATAATAGGGGAAGGGGGAAAGGGATAAATGAAATAAGATTGGCCACCTGGTGATAATCATTAAAGCTGTGTGATTAATGATGGGAACATGTGAATTCATGCTATTTTATACTTTTGCTTGTTCAGAGAAGTTTCCAGAGTGAAAACTAAAATACAGGGTAAAAATAAAGGTAGGCACAGATCTGACCTATTATCTCTTCTTTTGTTTAAAATAACTACAGCCCCTAAGTATCTGGAAAGATTGGTTCCAGGACCCCAGCAGATTTCCTAAATCCACCGATGCTCAATTCCCTTACAAAAAATGGCATGGTTCTGGCATATAATCTATGCATATTCTCACATACACTTTAAACGATCTCGAGATTACTTATAATAGCTAATACAATGCAAGTGCTAGAGAAATAGTTATTATGTTCTTTAGGGAACAATGACAAGGAAAAAGTCTGTACATGTTCAGTACAGATGCAGTCATTGTGAGCCTAACCAGTACACCAACAAGACTCCGTGTGAATCATACTCAAAGTGAAATGGTGTTTTATTACGACAGGGCACACTTACACATCCTTCATTCATGAGGATTCAAATAGTGCTCAACACACAGCAGGCTCAAGTTTAGTTTGTTGGAATTTTTTGAATTTTTAAATATTTTCAATTTACTGTTGGTTGTATCCATGGATGTGGAACTTGCAGATAACAGAAGGCTGACCATATAATTTATGTAGCATCTACTCTGTGCCCCATTGGCTCTCAATACCAAGAAAGATGGGAACTGTTTCTGCTTAACAGCTGAAGAGGCTGAAGACCGCGGAAGTCCCTTAGCTGCTGAGCTGAGATTTGAGCCCTGGACATCAGGCTCTAAAGTTCTGCCAACTTCACCTCATTTATGGTCTTCTTCCCCACATATAACTTTGGGTCTTCTTTTCACAGCCCAGACAAAGAGATTATGACCATCTGTGTTATACTTGGGGCTGTTTACCACTCAACCCATCCAGCTCTGACTAAACCCCATCTTCTCTTTTCCCTGACCCAGATAGAAAAACTCCCTAAGGGAAAGGCCTGGAATTAACTTGGAGAGTGCCATTTCATGGTTTTAATGTTCATTTCTCTATTATTAATGATGGTATTCATCTTTTCATATGCACACCCTCATTAATGATGGTATGCTTTTTATTTGCTCTTTGGGTCTTCTATAAGTTGTCTGTTCACATCCTCTTATCATTTGCTACTGTACAGTTGGTCTTCTTATTGTTTTTTAGGAGTTCTTTATATATGCTGTATATTAACTCTTTATAAGGTAGACATTATAAACATCTCCAAGTTTACAAACTTGTATTATCTTTTGGTATACAGTTTCTGAAAATTTTTAATTTGATTTTGTTGGTGCTCAACCAAGGGTCTCATGTATGCTTTGCATACACGCTACCTCTGAGCTATTTCACTCAAGTCATTTCTAAAATTTTTATATAAAATGTGTCAACCATTTATAGTTTGTGTTTCAGTCTTAAAAAATCTTTCCACGCTTCCTATATGTTTTTTCTAACAATGTCATTCTTTTACCTTGAGATCTTTACTGGAAACTATTTGGTTTGGAATATGGAGTAAGGTAGAGATTTTCTATATGGCAAGAGATTAAATTTAATTTTCTATCTTCAGATCTGCACACATGCATGGACCACCCCTAGAAGAGTATATACTGATCCCTCACTAGAGCTAGTTATAGCCACTGTTTTCATCATATTTTGATATGTTCCAGGAAGTAGCTCCTCATGTCAGCTTAGGCATGCCTGGCTTCCAGCCACACAAGGAGCCAGGGCTTTATAAGCTTATTAGATGATGTCCCACAAGATTAAATAATCAATTGCACTTAATGGTGGTCAACTCAATAATACCTTCTCATAGGACCTCTCTCTCCTTCCATCCTTTTCCCTCTTGTTTCATTGGAACTGTAAAGGATAGTAAATAATCTTACTACCTCAGGCTCTGCTTTATGAGAAACCTGGACTAATGTAGTCAGTACCAGAAGGGTACTAAACCAGTAGATTCTTGGGATGAAATACTGGAGTTCACTTAATCACCAGTCTGGTGGAAATTAAGAACTCCAGCTGGCAGGAAGTAGGGGTGAGGACCCTGATATGGTGGCATCACAATTACTAATGCCTCCACCAGTGGGCAATTGGACTGAAGTGAAGGTGGACAGTTAGGCAGTGACATGCAGTAACTTGGGTGGCTGCAAGGTCTGAGGGAGTGGTAATTATAAGGAGTGTGGAGGAGCCTGACTGGCTTTCCTTAACAGCCCTGGAAGCTTTGGAGGGGAAAATCACAGGCTAGGGCAGCCAACTGCCTTCTCAACCCTACTTTACCTCCATCCACCCCACCCTCAGTGAAGACATTCCTTGCATTCTTGAGTTACTCATAATGCTGTATGTGTATTTTTTTTAATTCCTGCTTGATTTGGTTTCTTGTTTTTTAACCTATTTCTGCACCTATGTTCTTACGGAAGACTGATTCATGCCTTTTTTTAAATTTAGTGTGAGGGTAATATCCGGAGAATAATGAAAGTGGGTCCCTCTTTTTCTAGTTTCTGAAACAATGTATAAAAAATGAAGATTAGTTTGAATGTGGTAGTGTATGCCTGTAAAATTATTCTATGCCTACTCTTTTGGGTTTTGTGGAAAGTTCTTTTCAAAGTTATTTTCATCATAGTTGAGCAGCCTCACAGTTTTAAAAGGCAGAGAGTTGTACAAGGTTTTGAAAACAGAAATCCTTCCGTTTCCCATGGTCTCCACCCTGCAAACCTCCCATTTCCCAAGGACACATTTTCTTCCTTATTTTATTTACTTCCATGTCTCCAAATAGCACATTACTTTTATTTCTTCAGTTTTAGCACTAATTATGGATCAATAATAGGGATAGTCTCTCTTCCCTCACCCATATCCAATTCAACCTCTGATATGCCCTTCCTATCTGCCATATGCCTGGCTAGATCAAGAATTAACATTTACACTACAGTTACTAGGTCACAGTCGAGAAGACAAACCATGATTCCATTCCCTCCCTTGTACAATGTTTGTCTTTCCTGAAGCTAATAATCAACTAATTGCTTTACTTGCTGTGTACTTATCAATAATTCAGTCCTCCACTACTCTACAAATCTCTTCCCCAGACATCCAGATGTATCAAGGAATCTTATCAAGGCCACCTCTATAAATTAACCTCTCCTAGAGGCTTCTGACATCTTACAATCTTGACCAGTTGCCTGCTACACCAGCTAATAAGCTATCAAGTAAGAGAAAGCCTGTAGCAGTTCTAAGACACATCCACAGGTTCTCTGGCACTCCTCCCATATGTCAAAGGTAGATTATGTTTAAGTATCTCCTCCATGAATCTGGACCAAACTTAGTGACTTGCTTAAAACCCACAGCATGCAGAAGCAGCAGTGCTGTGTGGCTGCTAAGGTTAGGTCATAAAAAGTGTTGCATCTTGCTTGGTTAAATTCTCATTTTGAGTTGCCATGTAAAAAGTCTGATTACCCTGAGCCCACCACACTGTAAAGAAGCCCTGGCCGCTTAGAGAAGCTCTGTTCAGGTGCCCCAGCAGACCACCTCTGCATCAACTCCCATGTGAGGGAAAATGCCTCAGCTAATTCCAACTCCCAAACTTTCAAGTCACCCCCAGCACTGACTCCTTCTACGTATATCTCAAACATTGTGGAACAAGTCACTCTGATTGTGCTCTATCTGAATTTCTGACACAGAATCTGTAAGTGTGATAAAATGGTAGCAAAGCTTTGGAAAAACTGGTTTTCCAGCAACAGTAACTGCAAAATCCCTTAGCAAGTATTAACCTTGTGATTTCTTTCACTGCTGTCTGCACTGGATCTCTTATTTCCACATTTCATGCCTTCTTCTGTCTTGGTTTTCTCATGTCTACTAGGGGAGAGTTATCTCTGGGAGCTTTTTAAGAAAGTGTTCATGGAACATAAATGTTTAAAGACTGAAAATCTGACATCTTCTAATCTTGGCTGATTGCTTAAACTTTATAGTGTAACTGGTTAATAACTGCTATGTATAAAATTCAACAGACAAAAGGTGCATTTCCAAGAGGCCTCACTAGATGTAATTCAATCTATATAATAAACCACAGTACACCGTATTTTCCAAAAATGGCCACAGCAATATGTCTGGTCCCACATGCTTTTCTAGAGCCTTGTCATGCCAGTCAATAAGGGGTATGTGTGTCCTTACACTCTGCCTCCCCTTTTGGAGAGGCTCCTGCTAGGGAAACCAGTCACTGTATTCAGAGGAAGCCCAAACCAGCCAATGTGGAAAAGCCTTATAGAGAGGCCCACAGGAAAACAGTCTGAGCCGAAAGCTGCCGTCAACCTCAAGGCATGAGAACGAATGAGACTTCAGTTACTTCCACCCTACCCCACACTCATCCTCATCTTCTGTCTGACGCCCCAGGTATTACAGAGTAGAGACAAACTATCCTTGTGGTATCCCTTCCACTCAGCAAGCAGATGGCTATTTGACACTTCTAAGGCTTGGGGTGACTTATTTCATGGCTACAATAACTGGAACATTAAATATATTAAAAGGAACATTGAATGTATTAATGAAAATTGCTATTCAAACCATGTGATAAAGGAGTATTTCAGCTGGGCATGGTGTCCCAACACTCGGGAGGCTGAGGCAGGAGGGTTGCCCTGAGTTCAAGGCCAGCATGGGCTGCACAGTGAGTTTAAGACCAGCCTGAATGACATAGTAAGACTGTCTCCAAAAAAAAAAAGAGCATTTAAAATACTCTTTTTTTTTCCAATCAAGTATTCTTAATCACAAATAATGCTCTTAAGTTTCCGAACCTAACACATCATGAATATATGCCTCCCAGTGTACAAATGCTTAGTATCCCGCAACTAGACATCCAGCCGCCCTCGAGAGCTATCCCTGAGGCTCACCAAAATCCCCCCAAAACAGAGACTTCCAGAAAAGCATTTTATTCTGAGATTCTACTGATAACTGTGGGAGAAGAGGGGTACGAGCATGAAATGGGGGAAGGTCTGTAGAATTAGAACTGTAATTAGAGTTATTGTAGGAGCTCATAATTTTATATACATATGTATACATGCACATATACATACATATGGTTAAATCTGTGAAAATGACATTTCTCCCTGCCTCTGTTTGTTGCAAAAATCTGGAAGCAATTATACCCACGTGACAGTGAGCAGACTGAGTGCTTAACTCTTGGTTTCAAAATTCCATTCCCTATTAAAACAAACCAGAGCTTCTGGGAAATTGATTCCAAAACTTGAAGAGAAAACAAGTACATAGGATGAACCTGGGACATTTCATAATGCCAGAGTTGGAGCAAGTTCTAAAACAATGCTAGGTCATATCAAAGAACACAGAGACAACTCCTGAGGCTCCTACTGGGCAAATCTCGGACCCTAGCAGAACCAAAACAAACACTGACAGTGAGTTAAATGCCTCATTTTAGGGTAGACTAACATAATTTCCTTATCTAGAGTGATTTTAAAAAGTACACATGCCCTTGAATACTGAGCAACAAGATGAATTTACACATTTTACAGTACCAAAATCCGTACTTCAAAAAGGATGAAATAATCAATTATTCAAGGAGAAAGAAACAAGTACTTAACCAAAAATGACAAACACATCCTTAAGATGTATTCTCTTGATTAGACCTATACTAACCAAAAAAATTGTGTATAAAATAGGATCCAAATGTTTCTTTTAATATCTATAATTGCCTTGTATATTTTGCCATTCGGAGGTTTAAATGTTGCTATACAGCCCATGTTAAAGTGATATCCAAGAATAATACCGAATTGGACACTAAAGTCTTTATTGTTCAGTCCTCTCCTCAGTATCCTCTGATCTGTGACAGTTCCTTCCTCTCTGACCTTGAGACTTTTTTAAAGTGCTGGCCAGTATTTAATAGTATGTCCTTCAATTCTTATGGTTAAATTGAAGTTATACATTCTTGGGAAGAACACCATAGAGGTGATATGCTCTTCTCACTAGGTTATATTAGGGGATATGCTATTGATGTAACTTATTAGTTGAGACATTAACTTTAATCACTTGGTTAAAGTGTTGTCTGCCAGGGTTCTCTGTTGCACAGTTACTATTTTTCTTTTCATAATTACTAAATATCTGGGGGAAGAGTATGTAATTATCTGTTTCTGCTGAAATTTGTACCCTTAATTTTAGTATCCATTGGAATTTTCTTGCCTGAAGAAATTATTGCTGTGATATTCAATAGTGATTTTTACATTTCTGTTTTCTTTATTAATCAGATTTCTTCTAAAGACGGTCTCTTCTCCCTCACTTACTAGCTTACTCATGCAGTTACTTATATTAATATAGACTCGTGGAAATTTGTGTTATAATCCAATTCCATTATTATTTTGTAGCTTGAGTTATTCCAACTTTGGACACTGGGAACTCTGTCCTTCTGCTACACCCCCTCAACCACCCACCTGTTTCTTTTTTAGGCTTCTTACATTCTGGCACCACAAGATACTGTCAAATTCAAAGTGTTTTATTTAATGTTCAGGATACAGAACTGACACATATGTCTGCTTTTGCCAGCAATGATTGAGAAGTTTAAATATTAGGGATATGCATGCACTCCCTACACTGTGAAGCACAATCCACATGTGTGTGAGGACACTGTTATTAGACCCAGCTGCCACTGCAGCTGGTGAGTGGAGCTGGCAACTGCTAAGCTTAATCTTCACCTGATTCCCCAGAAGGGTGGGAAGCCAGCATTCAGAAAAGGGCTGGGAAAAGCAATAAGGAAATCTCTCTCGGAGAAACCTCTGGATATACTGTGAAGGGGCAGAGAAGAGTAAGGAGAGGTGATACAGATATATGATTATGGCTCCAAAGGGAGAAAAAAATGGTAGAATTGAAATGATAAACTATTATGTAAGGAAAGTATAAGGAAAAGGAAATAGGAAGAAAAATTTGAGGGAAGGCTTTTTAAAATAGAAAATCACAGCTAATAAATGTAGATGGAATAACAATACTAGAAATCCCATTTTGTAACTTCTAATTTAAAAAAAAATGGTTGAAGGCAACAGTTATCTAAGCCTGCTAACAATTAAATGAAAGGTTGATAAGAACTTTATAAAGGATGAGTCAGGCTAACAACACCTGCAACCATTCATTACTGGTACTAGGAAGCCCGGTTATGCTTCCTCCTGATGTAATGCAGTAAGAAATAATCAGCACCACTGGAGATTTAGCTCATTGGTGCCACCACCTGCCTCACAAGCACAAGCTCCTGAGTTCAATCCCCAGTACCAAAAAACAAAAGAAAGAAAAGAAAAGAAAAGAAATAAAGAGCACCACCAAGAAGTACCTCTGACAAAAAGAAAAATCATGAAGCCCAGTGCAGAGGTGCACACCTAGAGTCCCAGCTACTCGAGAGACACAGGCAGGAGGATTGCTTGAGCCCAGAAGTTAAGTCCAGCCTGAGCAACCCAAAGAAAAGGAAAGAAGGAAGGAGGAAGGGAAGAGGAAAGGAGAAAAAGAATTGAAACTGAATCTAACCAAACCTCTCCGTCTAATTACCAGTTTACAGATGATGTGGAGAATAAAGGGATGAGTTTAATGTCACCACAATAAGGCAATTAGCCAAATCCAGGATGAAGAAGTTACAGTTTCTTCAACAAATAAGTGGCATTTTTAAAAAGCAGAGTATAAGGGAGGAACTGTTCTCAACTAAGGGAGATTAAAGAGTTATTTTTAGTCAAATGCAATGTTTAGATTCTGATTCACAGAAAGCAACTGACTTATTAATCAAATGGAGGAAGATCAAACTTGATTACATATTAGTTGATATTAATGAATCATTGCTCATATCCCTGAATGTGAATATAGCATTAAGGTTGTTTTTAAAAAGTCCTTAACTATTAGAGAGGCTTACACAAGTAATAACTGAAGAATGCCATGCATGTAGTTTCCCTTCCAAGCATGTGAATGGCCACAGGGCCACAGACATGAAGAAGTTGTAGGGGTGGTCACAGGTGAAACCAGATCTCCAAACTGTAGGATTCTGCTGAGGCTGGGTGATGGGCCCATGAGAGCAGATTGCCTTCTTTGCCCTAGCTTTGTATATGGCTCAAAATTAATAAAGATTTTTTTTTAATAAAAAAGGAAATGGGGTAAGATCTTCAATGAATCAAGATTTCTACCTCATAAACGGGTCCAATTTCATAATCTGTGAAAAATACAGTTGATGGCTTGGCTAGGAACACTGGAGTATTTGCACAACTATGGGAAGAAAGAGGGAAGAAAAAGTTTTAGCTACACAAGTACTGCATAGTGATTGAATAATGCAAAACTAAATACACCCAAGCCATCAAAGATACCCACAATATGGCATTCATGGAGCTTTTTCACTGTTTTTGTTTAAGCAGATTACAAAATAAACCATGATCCAATCTTCATGAAATCATGTGTAGCTACGTATAAAATTTTCAATATACATAGGAAAAACTCTGGAAGCTTAAACACAAATATGTTAAGTGCATTTGCATACAATTTTTATTTTCAAATATTAGTCTTTTCTTTATAAAAAGATATCAAATGTCTAATAAAGAAGCATTGGGCCAGGATTTAGCTCAGTGGTTTCGCCGCCTGCTGTGCAAGCGCAAGGACCCGAGTTTGATCCCTGGTACCAAAAAAAAAAAAAAAAGAATCATTGACAGTCCATTAAAATTACAAATCCATGAAGGAACTCATTTTCTTTATCAGGACAATTACTGAAATATAGCCAAAGGCACTCTGTTTTTTAAAAAAAATCACAATTTACACTAATTATTTGTAGCTAATCAAATTTTAAACATTGCTATTACCCAAGACATATGAATCCCATGGAAGCAGTGTGTGATATAACCGAGTACCCCATAAGAGACTCCGCTATTTGACCCAGGCTATTCAAATGTCAAAAAAAAAAAGGGCCAATACCAACCCCTAGTTTTCTTTTCTCCTATTTCTGACCTTAAAAGGTCAGAAAACCATAAGCCCAGGACCCTGGGAAATATTTAAAGGCCACATCTGTAGGTGACCCTGAAGACCTAGTCTGATACTGCTACCCTCCCCCCTCACCACCACCAGAAAGTCCAGGAGCCTTAGTGCACATGGTGGCACACACCTGTAATTCCAGCACTCTGGGAGGCTGAGCCAGGAGGGTCACAAGTTCAAGCCCAACCTGGACAATTTAGCGACTTAAAGAGATCCTGTCTCAAAATGAAAAAGAAGTGGGGGGCTGAATGTAACTCACTGTGAAGGCCCTGGGTTAAATCCCCAGAACTACAAAAGGAAAAATAAGTCTAAGAGCCTCCATAGCCAGAGCAGGCTCAGGACATACTGGGTTTTACCTTAAAGGGTCAGATTTTCTGAGAGTATAAGTCATAGAAAGGCATACCTCTGTTCTGGCTCTCCATTTGAAAATTTTCCTATCAGTGCTGGCTTTTTTGGAGGAAAAATAAGAGACCTGCCTCCATGTGGAGTGTTAGGAGGAAAAAACCGGGGGTTTTTTAGGAAGTGGCTGCGACTCTCCATCCCAGCAAGCTGAAGTCGCTCCAGTTCTCTCTGCGGCACTCGTAAGTGCTTCATCCATTTTTTATTCTTTGGTGGACTTGCTTTCTTTGAAACACACAAAAGCATAATTAATGACATGCGAGGGACTGGTGTTTTGACATCTTAGCAAAGTGTCTGACCCACAGACGGCCAATGCAAACTATTTTGCTGGATGTTCTTCACAACTTTTTGAGTCATCCAAATTCCCCCTCCCCAGTGCTCACACACAGTGCTGTGCACAGCCTTCAAAACCAACCTTGGCGGTTTCTTTGGTCTTTTGTTTAGCCTCAGGAGTTGAGTCCCATGTCAGGCTGTCCACAGTATAGTCGAACTCATCTGCAAATGCAGGAAGCTTCTCTCTGCAGGACACTGGAAGCTTCTTGTCTGCCTTTGGGATGGAATGCTTCTCATAACTGAATGTCAGCTCTGAACATCCAGGGTGGAAGGCACCTATGGCACCAAGGAAACAAACTGAGTTGCAGTAACAAGGGTAGGAAGTGAACCAAATAAAACCACCAAAGCTATGGTCAAATTGATATTTCAACCTAAAAGTTCACAATTTACTACACCAGATATAATTGCTCTTCACCATATGAATTACTCCTGGAACTTAATCCATGCATTTGAGACCTGGGACTAAAGGGTTAAAATATCTTTCAATTTCCTAACACAGGCAAAGAACATGAATTGACCATTTTCAAACACACATGTACACACATCCCAGATGTGAACATCCTTCATAAAAATCTTACATGAGGAATTAATATCTATATTAGCTTTTTACACCCATAAGAACATCCCCTAAAGGCTAACTGAGAACAATCATCGCTAGCAAGAATGCAATGACACTGGTACCCAAACACACATTTTTAGCACAATGCGTAGAAAGTCCTCAGTACCTGTTGGGTCCATCTTCATTTACTTGCATTAGATAGTCAGCGTCCATCTAACTATAAAATGCTAAGTGGCTTAGTATCCCAAGAGACTTGATTCTCCTGTCACTTCCTTCACTCTTTTCTCAATTATCTGGGTCCCATCTTTTTACCCCACATGCCTTCTAAGCTCCAAAGTGCCAGAGATTATCACATAGTACCACTGAGTGGGGCTGTTTGTCTTTCGAGCCCGGCATCACTAGACAACCTCGATGCTTTACCACAGGACGCCTGGTGACTTTTCCCCAACCACACAGTAACTCTTCCAAAATCTGTCTTCTTGTTTAAGCCCACCAAACAGCCTCCCACCTTACTCATTCTCAGACTATCCTGCCTTGCTGATTACAGGAAACTGGCCTAATAACACGCACACATGCACACACGCACGCACCTTTTCTACTTGCCAACCCATCCTTCCCTCCATTCTCAATGGCAGAAAAGCTGCTCTTTTCCTGTATGGATAAGACCCTGTCCATGTACTGCCTCCACCCTTTACTCTTTTATTTCTTCACTCCCTTCCCCCTCTTGGTTCATTCAACTACATCTGAACTTTTGCAGACCTCTGGGTGTTGGGCAGCTAACAAGAGCACCATATTCCACATGCAAGAGTTGGAATTTCTATCTTGATGGTGTGAAGAAAGTTAGTAAGGAACTGGCACACTCAGATGTGACCCTCCCAATCGTCACTATAAAAATTAAAGAAAAGGAGGGAAAATTCTAAGAACAAGGAAATGGCCGTAAAGCTGGCTGATGTGGCCCTGCTACTATATAATTTCTGTGGCATGATCTCTGAGGCTCTGAGGGTAAGACACATTACCTTTGGGTGCAGAGAAAAATGGCACTGTATTGCTGTAGTAATCTTCTGGGCAGATCAAATGATGCTTCTGTAGCAATTCGCTGTCAACACACCACCTGAAGACAGTCTTCACTACACAGAGGAGAACAAGGACAAAAGCATTTCAAGCCAGATTGAGGTGGAAGAAGCTGCACCTAAACTTTCTTCATCCTCCAATCCTAAACAATTGAAGGAAATTCCTTCTCAGAACCCTGTGGTAGTGCTGAGGTTTAAGGAATTAAACAGTATTTATCCACCACTTAAAAGAGTCTAACCACTGGGCTGTGTTTGGGTATTACTTCAGCTAAAATACTCTTATGCACAGGAAGATCTATAAAAAATAAAATTAACAGACATAAGGTAGCTGGAATAAATGACCCCAATTCTTCACCTTCCCTGTACACACGTCCTTGAAATATGACTTTGCAGTCCACCTTACTAGAGACAGAGTACACATCTTCACCCTTGTCTTTGACCAGTGAGATGTCAGCAGGATTTGAAATGTGCTTACACAGTGACCATTCCCTCTTGTACTTTGGCCATCATCAGAGAAGAGCTTCCTTTCCCCTTCATCTTGGACACTGGCATATATCCATGGGGAACAGAGTTGAGCCCAAACTATAGCCATAAGCCAAGCTCAGCAGGACCTACAGCTTGAAGCCAGCCCAGCCAACCAAGCTCAGCTAAATCAGCCAACCTCCCACTGATCTAAAGACACATAAGAGAAAAGACCTCACTTAATAAACTAGGAAGTTGATAATATCTATGGCTGGTGAGCCAAGAAATAGAAGTAAAGACATATTACTTATATATCATAT